GTCACAATCTCGGCATCATTTAGCATTTGAAATCCACTGAGTCTTCTGCATCTATTGACATCCAGGTTTTTACATCTTCATCGTATTCTCTCTTGAAATCCTGGGATCGATTGGACAAAGTCGGTAATCTCATCCCTGTAGTCGTCATTGTAGTCTTTTTCGCCGTCTAAATAGACAAAAGTTGGGGAAAAAAATTGGATATTTACGGATAATGACTTTCGGATAAACGACGTTCTACTGTATATATATTTTTCAAATTCGATTTAAATGCCGCCCTTAAAATTTGTCGCCTCGGGCAGGGGTCTGGTTTGTCCGGCACTAGAGCCGCCCTTGCTCCGAAAGAGGATTAAATCCTGAATTTTGTACTAGTTTAATGGCGATTGATAGTAAGCGAATTTTTAATGAGCTTACACGTGCCTAACTGAGCGGTTGAAACTTTCCCTTTTCATTGTGTAATTTTTAAAAATAACTGTTTCCCTTCACTTGAACATGTGAGTATATTGTACTTATTACAGTTTCTCCCGTTTTTCCTTGTAAAGTGCAGAAAAGGGGCGATTCTCTTCGTGTTTTGGCACTTGAGAAGGAGTGCACGCTGGATTAATACTCATGATGTTAAAATTATCCAAATAAGCGATGATTTGATTAATGTTTCGAGCTTTCAAAATTGCCATGACTACAGATACAAAATGAATGCCACTTTACATTATATATATATTAGTGCTTTGTTTAATTGCAAAATAAATATCTAGGTGGCGCCACTATTTTTTTCTTCTCGAATAGTCTTTCCAATTTTTTTACGTCATTTCGGGTAGGGAACTTATTATGGAAGGTTGAATTTTCGATTTCCAGTAATTATTTTACACGTAAGTGTTTTTATTTTTTAATTTTTATTTTATTTATTTATTTATTTTTTTCCTCTCCTTGTGACATTCATTATTGTTCTATTTTCTTAGCTTCATTTTAATATATTATCAGGTATTTCTTCCACGTGTTGTATTAGGCTTAACTTTTCAACTAGGTGTTTTTTCTTTTTTCCCCTCCTATTATGTCGAAAGTTTCTGCTGAACGGGGAAGGTAGGATCCGTAAAGCATTGCTAACCCTATTTCGTTGGCCTAATTCAACGACAGCTTTAGAAATCATAATAGGTGTCCAGTTTAGTCCAAAGACTTTTTTGTATATACATTTGTTATGTCTGGTGAATTCCAATTTCTTCCTGCATTAGCACTGTAGGTTCTAGTATTTCTTCACTGTTATTATATATATATATATAAGTAAATTAGATCTAAAATTAAATCCCTATATAGTATTAAACTTTCATTTTCCATTATATCTTAAAATTTTAAATTAAACACCCAATTATTTCTCCGAACAGATGATCCAAACAGAACACTTCTAATCCCAGAACATTATTTTTATATCCCCATTTGTCATCCTTAACTTTCAAGTATAACACATAACTCTAAAAGGATACTTAACAGTTCTGGACGTAAGTGGCAAAACCACTTGGACGTCCTTTTTCTCTCAGCGACAGAAGTATGGACTGCTCGCTGAATAAAATCCTTTTAAAAAAGCTGGTGTTGATTTGAAAGATGTCATATATATACATACAATAAATTAAAATCTATATAAATAATACTAAATAATAAACTTAATTATTTAAATAATTTGAGAAATAAACTGATAGGAAACTTTGCGAAAATCTGTTCATTATAAGTTGCTCCAAGCTTTCTAACTTTTTATTTTTAGTAACAAGTTATTATTTTGTTTCCTGAAACTTTTGGAGATACTGTTGATTCCACTGAATAATGAATTAAATATCATGAGATATCCTTTTCACAATAGTTCTACAAAATATTTACGAGTTTTTACGAGTTGCAAGAAAAATATAGTTATTATTATTCCGTTTACTATTAATAAACTTTCTTTATTATTTCAAATAGATTGCAATGAAGTTTTCTGTATTGTTGCTCTGGAATGCCTTGGTTGATGATTTGATTCGAGATATAAATTTGGCAATTTTGAAAATTAGGTATATATCTACTTTTAGTATTTTATAATAGAAGATCAATCTATTTTAATCAAATGAATTTGTACTCAGTACTATAAACAGAATGGTTAGCACCGATAGCTGGTTTAAATTCACTAAAAGCAGTACAGAATAAACATAGCAACTGCTATATTTATTTTGTACTGCATTCGTACTAGTAAAAATATTTTTAATTACTTCTGATTATTTAGTGACTTCAAGTAATATACAGGGGTTCCAAAAACAACAATCTATTTCCACAAAAACACCAATGTATTGATTTTTTCATACGATTTTGAAAAAATGATCTCCATAGAAAAAGGAATAGCCACCACTTCCTGGAAACTGGGGGTTAAAATATTATTACGTAGATCGAGGTTACGAAGATTTTATGCAATCAGTGGCAAATGGATTTTTTTCGAAAAACAATCCTTGAAATGCAAGAAACAATACTCAAATTCTTTGAGTAAATCTCAGAAGGTCTTCACACCTTCCACGGCCCTCTGACACAACTATCAGTGCCTAAAATACAAGTATGTTAACCCTTTATCTACCGGATTATGATTTACTGTAGTTTTTTTCATGCAATATATATATTTTTTTTTGAATTACTACATTGAAAATTAAGAGATATACATGAACAAAATACTCAACTTTGGGAAATTTAATCCGTTAGAGCTAATTAATTAATTAGAGATTTTCAACTGTAAAATAATTTATATACACTGTTCACTTAAAATAAATAGTTAAGTCGTTTTCTAAGGTCTTCATTAACATACAAAAAAAATTTACACTTAAATTTTGACATTAACTATTTTTTCGGGACAAAAATAATAATCTTTGCAATCCGCTGAAAACGCAATTTCTGCTATAAAACTGTTCACCTTCCCCGCTAAAATACTTATCGTAGAACCTGTGCTGCCATATATCTTGGAATGGAGGATTTCAAAGAATATTCCTGCTAAGTATCGTCAAGATATTCGTAAAAATGTGTGTTTATTATATGTAACTTTAAAGTGAGTGGTACTCATAAGTACCATTGGTAGGTAAAGGGTTAAAGAGATTGTTCACAAGTACTCGCTCGTCCTACACAACAGCCACAATAATAATTAATCGTTGGTCGACTCTTCTGGGTCAAATCAATACTACTCTTCAACGGTCAAAACAAGACTAGCTCAGCTTCGGCAAGCGACTCCCTATTAATAAGCCTCGGATCTTTCAAGAAAAATCCTCGTTATATATAATTTAGAATATATATAAGAGGTACAATCGTATTGTAGCCTTAGCGTCAAAGTATTGTATTATTGAATTCAATACATTGCTACTGTATGGAGAGAGGGGGGCGATGAAAATTATGATTGTTTATTTGGTCGCAAATCTTTAAAGTTTGAGAAGCACTGGTGCAACGACAAGTAATACCATCTTATTTCTCTAATTACTAAGTTGTTTTATTAACAGAACAAATGGAGTAGAAAAGGTTTATTAATCTCTTAATTATTTAAGATAGGGGTGGCCAACCCAAATGACCTTGCGGGCTACTTCGGAAAAACATTATAATCTCGCGAGCCACACATAAAAATATGTACCTTTATATCAGATTTGGAAGCAAAAAAACATTTATTAGATGTAAAATTTGACAGAATGAATTATTTTTATTGTTTTCACACAGTATTTTTCATGTATGCAGACATAGATAATATAATAATGTTTTTATAATATAATAATACAACGATCAAATAATGTTTAAGACATTACAGTTGCCATTTTCTTGAAAATTATGGTGTTCCTATTGATTTGATATTTCGTTACTCATTGTTGAAATTTGATTGTGCCGTCATTCGCAAGTGATTAAATATACATTGCCCTTAATCTTAATCATCCTGAATATTTTTAAACTTTCGAAAACATCTCTGACTGCCTTTTGCTTTTTGTGCACTCCGAACAGAAAAGGAGGTAGAGAAAAGAAAGTTGCACACACAAAGAATTATGTACTCATCCATAGTAAAGGATATGCATAGTGCAATTCGGTATTTATAAAAAAAAACAGTAATTTATTATAGTGAAATAAAATGCACAACTGATTGATAAAATATAAATCTATTTTAATCTAAAGGACATTTCTATCATCAAAAAGGATTTATTTTAAAGCAAGAACAGGTAACAGGCAAATACATTGTAGATTTATATATATATATAAATTTCCCCTTAAATAAATTTCAAAATGAAAAAAAGTTTAAAAACCTGATATTTAAATTTTTTTTAAAAAGAGTCGGCGGGCTACAACTTACGTACTTGCGGGCCGCGTGTTGGACACCCTTGATTTAAGAAATATTTAAATACAAAGTATGTGTGGTTGTGTCTCTCTCTCTCTCTCTTCAGAGTACAAAATAGATGACACGTGCGACTCTTTCAATAAATCTTCACTTAGATGAAAGCACTAAGATTAAGGAAGTAAATATTTATGAAGAGGGAAAAGACTTTTCTGTGTATTTGTATATACGCATTGTTATTCAAAAGAATCCCTGGTGCGTAGTTTATCCAGAATTATTTATCCTCCCTTTGGCTTAGTGAGCAAGAGATGGCTTGAAAATGGAAATACTTAGAGTGCTGTCAATGTCATTTAGACCTAACAAGAATAAAGGAAATGTATAAAATGGGAAGATATTTTTCCGAACAGAGTAAAATAAAAATAAACAAGTAATATACAAAAAATATATGTCAATCCCTACATAGGTCAAGAAGAAAATTTTATTTTATTTACTTTTTATTAAATAGTTACATTTAATATAAATATGTATATACATATGAAAGAATCACAATATTAAGTAACAAAGTAGAAATCGATTTTCCATTTTCCTTTCTATATATGGCGTTGAACGACAATTTTTGTTTGTTACTATTTATTCATTAATTAAATTTAATTATTCTAATAAAATAGTACAGCAAAAAGAAATCACATTCTCAGAAATTAGGTATTCCTGGTGGGATTCGAGCCCACGAACTTGGATTAGAGGTCCAACGCGCTACCCATTGCGCTACAAGGACACACGAGTGTGGTTTCCCTTTTTTCACACACACAATTCCTACTATTAGCTCACACTCTTATATATTTATTTATCTTGGTGGAATTTTCAATCGTTAATAAAATACATTTTAAAGCACTCCATTGAGCTGAAATTTTATATACATGGTTATTTTGTGTAAAAGTACGATAATTTAATTTTAATTAATTAAAATTAATTGACTGAAATCAATTATTCAAAGAATTACAAATACAGCTACTTTGGCATCATTTTTGGCGACTTAGTGACCCTTTTGTCGACTTGTGTCAAAGACTTGAAAAGGTTTTTTTCTCACGTTTTAAAGCATCAGTTGAAATAAAATTTTATATGCATGATTGTTTTGGATGACAATACGATACTTTAATGATAATTAAAAAATTAATTATCAGTTAATGTTGTGATTCTGTCATATGTATATACGTATTTATATTAATAGTAACTATTTAATAAAAAGTAGCTAAAATAAAATTTTTCTTTGTTGATGTAAGTAGGAATTGACTTAATTTTTTTTATATCACTTGTTATATATATATATATATATATGGTGTTGGACTATTATTTTTGTTTGTTATTATTTATTACTATTTTAAAAATTTATTACTCAAAATTCGTAACAATATGTTTCAATACCACTACTGTTACGATTTTTTAAAACACATGATAATAATGTCAATAAAACACTATAGTTTGTATTAAAAATATATATATATATATATATATAAACTTCTTAAAATATAATCATATTAATTCTAAGCAATGTACAATCGGAATATCACTACGACTTGCGTGAAAATTTGTAACTTTGGTGATTTGGAATCGTATAAAATGTTTCTTGAACTTTCTTAGGATTAATATGCTTTCTGAATGATTCTTTGAAAACTCGAATAAGAGGTGATTAGGGCGATTAATCAGAACTTGATACGAACATTCTGTTACACAATGTCGATTTATTTGTGACTAATTGGATTAATTAGCTCTTATTATTGGACCTGGTTAAATCCCTTTTATTGATTTGCTAAGATATCACATTTGTTTGAACTAAAACCTTCACTAAAACTTTCTATGAGGAATATATCGAAAAGTGCCAGCGTTTTTGTTAAATTCAGCGTTTATTATTTTATCAGAACACTTATTATAGTAAAAATGTGCAATGATTTCCGTAATTCTGCCTTTGCGTGGAATCATCTTTGCTTTAAAAATAGCATTTATTTTAAAAGTATTCAGTAGACCAGTGCTTCTCAAAGTTTCACTATTCGCGATCCAATACTTGATCATAATTTTTATCGTGCCCCCTCATACAATAACAATGTATGGAATTCATTAATACTATACTCTCTTTGATGCTAAAACTACAATATCATTTTAACCTTATAAGTGCCACCGGCGTATATAAACGTTTCGCTCAGTCAAGGCGTTAATTTCCCCAGACGTATATATACGTCTTTCCGAAGTACGTATTTTTTGTGCACTGCTAACCATTAAATTTTTCCGAAGCTTTGGAATGCAATAAAAGGACCTTCACAATGTTTACGAAGGATAGACTTATTTCAGATTTATTTCCTTCTTTATACCATCCCCCCAATACATCACATACGCACGCTTACGTGGAAAATGGTTGGCATTAAGAAGCTAATCGCGTAAATTTTAATCCGCAGTTAAGGGATTAATTATAAACCATACAAAAAATTATCAAGATAAGTGCTAATTTTTTATATAATTTTATATATGACAATCCCATGGGGCCACTTGTAATTATTAAGCTTGTTCTTAATTTAGTATTGTTAAATTAATCATCAAATCTTTTGTATAGCACTGATACATTTATAAGTGTAAATGTGCATTTTATTTTTTATTATGTTAGAATGTATTTTGATTGTTTACTTTCAGTAAATTAATAATTTATTTTTTCAAAAATAATCTTCTGTTTTCGACTTTTCAATATACTCGCACCCCCCTCGTAGAGTTGTCCCGCCCCTCAAGGGGAGCGCGCCCCACAGTTTGAGAAACGCTGCAGTAGACAGATAAGATTCATATAAAAGTGAATATTTAATTAATTGATTAGTGTGTAGTTATAAGTTACAAGCCATTATCCACCCGCTTCTCAGGATATTTCATGATATTCTATAATTAAGTATTTTTTTCATATTATTGATATCTATATACTAGCATTAAGTTTTAAATTTTATTCAGAAACATTTTTCTGACTCTAGTCTCATATATTTAAAGAGGGTAGGACTTGATTTTCTAAAATGGAAGTATATTTATCTCAACTTAAAAACAACAAAAAGAACATGCGTGCGAAATTTAAAGTCTGTAGATCTAACAGTTCACAAACGGGGATTTTTTTAAAATTTATAATGCCCCCTAGCCCCACAATCTTCGATCTTGGGAATCGATTTCCTGGAAACCAGTAGTTAGCGGGTCTCTAATGACCAAAGAAACATGCTTACGAAATTTCAAGTCCATTGGTTTAATAATTTCGAATATTTGGTGATGAGTGAGTGAGTGTGTTTATGAAAATGCTTTTCTTATATGAATACAGGGATATTATATAATTAAAGTTCAACTATTTCAAAATGCTGTAAAAGGGAACAAGAACCACTGCTTAGATTGACTTCATATTTGAACTGAATATACTTGAAGAAAGGTGAAACAGTGTGGCATAGAGAAAAAATTCAGTGGCGTGTTTATTGTTACTTTTTATGTGATTTTTGGGACAAGGACAGTTAAAAACCGATTTTACCCTTCCAGTGGGGTGTGCCCTTGGCGTGGTTGATGGGATTTTTACTAACACTTCCACAACTGAACTTGACTTAGAAGTCGTTTTTTCTTTCAAAAAACTAAAACAATAATGCACATTGAACAGCACAGTTGGTATCATGTGTAACTCTTGCCAAAGCTATCGCAATTCATTTCTAAATGTCACTTGTAGGTGAATCTTGTTTTCGTTAAGCCGCTTACAGTGTTATCTATTGATACACTTTAGAACTTTTTTTACTTATGCCATAACGCTTCTCCCTTTTTTTAAATACAGGTATATTCAGTTCAAATTTGAAGTTATTATCAGCAGTGGTTCTCCTTTACTGAGTTTTGAAAATGGAACATTACTTTTAATCACCCTGTACTTTAGAAATACAGGAGCTGAGGTAGCCCAGTGGTCTATGTATCGGATCATGGCAGGAATGTCACGAGTTCGAGCCCAGTACCACTAAAGACTCGCCTTGTAGGTCAGCAATGCACGTTAAATCTGTTGAGAGCTGAAACGTCCTCCCGTTGGTGTGGTGTGGTAGTTAGGAGAGGGGGTTGCCTGCTCAGGTGTCGTCCACGTCACTTGACTATGGTTCAAAATTACCCCAAATTAGGTCCGTCGCCAAAAGCCCTCGTGTAGCTGAACAGTGCAACGTTAATATTCACTCACTCACACTTTAGAAGTACAACCATTTATCTAGATTTAAAATTTAGATACATTCTGAGAAGGCATAACAACTTAGCAAATTAGCATCATATAAAACATGTTCAAATAGAAGATCTGGAATTTAAAAAATGGATTCTGGGTTTGAACATTTATTTACCACTTTATATCAATGATCAACCCCAGGAGGGGCTAGAGGAAAGGCTTTTGTAACTAAGTAGTTGAGGTTTCCGATCAGTTATTTTATGTTCGGGTTAAAATCCTGATCCCAACAAACTACTGCGCTGAATAATATTGGTCGTTGCTCGTTAAATGGAATTAGATCTGACAGACCTAGGGTAAAATAACTAGGAAGTTATAAAAGGTGAAACGAATCCATTTATCTCCTTTGTCGCTTGACCATGGCTCAGATTTATTGTCAATATTATAGTGTAACTCTCGAATGTTATCAGCTCAAATGAAATTAAATGGCCGCCGTAACCTAGCGTTTATGGTCTTGGACTCGTGGCTGGCGTATCATGAGTTCGAACCTTAGTACCACTGAAGACCCGCGGTGTAAAGAGGCTGATAGACTATCCAGACTTAAAGCCCTTCCGTTGGATTGGTGTGGAAGCTCGGAGAGGGGGGATTGCCAATTCAAGTGTCGTTCTCATCACTTGGTAATGGCTCAAAAATAATGGGGCCCGTTGACAATAGCCCTCGTGTGTCTTCAAAGAGCGACCTAAAGTAAAATACAACAAACTTAACTAAAAGTTGAAAAAGTTATAGTTTAAAAAGACTAAAAACACTCTTTTATAGTAAATTGAAAAGTAAAAAAAATAATTCTTAACATAAATATAAGAATAAAATGTTTTACGAGAAAATTAATGACATTGTGGTAAAAGTGTGGGGTGCTCTATATAAATTGTTATAACTTCTTACTAGTTCTATAGTTCTATTCCGAAAGGCAGAGTTAGTTTTGGGTAGTAAAAAAGCAAAACCCCACGCTTTTACCACAGTGGAAATTTTTCTGTTAATTTTTTATTCTTATATTAAGTTTTAATTTTATTCGATTAATTTATAAAAAGCTTTTTTTTAATTTTAAAACTATAATCTTTTTTTCCTTTTTTTAGTTCCATCTACAAAAAAAGAATGACTTTTACAAAAAAAAATAATTTTTTTTAGACGTTTTTTTTTTAGTTTTTGCTTTTTTTGGCGCTTTTTAGGATTGTAATTTAATCAAGGTCACCAAATTTTTGAAACAGGATCGGGGTTAGTCCCCAAAAGGGGAAAAGGCGTTAACTTAGTTTCCCTCATCAGAACAATGAAAAAAAAAAATTTTTAAAATTTATGGTATTGTCATCGACCCTTTTTACAAGTATGAAAATTTTTGAATTAAAATTTTGGAAAGAAAAATGGGAATTTAAAAATTAATTTCCCCGTTACATACAGGGGGGAAGTTTGGCGTGTTAAAAAAAAATTAAAGGGTGGAAGACTTTTCGGCAGGGGTTTGGTAAATATTCTTGTACGATTTGAAATCTACAGAAAGGTTACAATATTCCCCAAAACAAAGACCCGGCAAATATTTTATT